GGTAGCGCAAGAGCTTAATGGTTACAATAAGGTATTGGAATAGGCCCCCAAAAGGGTTAACAGGTGTACATATGGGGTTTATATCTGCATATATACATTTCACTATTAGTTATTAGGGATATCGTGTGAAATGAGAATTTTTCCTACATAAAAGTGTGCCATGGTGCAGCCTTTTCTTCGTTCTTGTTTGTGGTTACTTATGTTCTTTTATTAAGGCTTATTTATATACTTGCCCTGTGTAAGTAATTAGCTTATCCTAAAATGAGACGCTGTGTGGCATGTATCAAGTAGGTACATGCATTTTTTTTATTTCTTAGGACTACTCCATTCTTTTGTTCTTAATTTACTAAAAGCGTTGAGTGGGGTATGGGTCAACGATTGAATTTAAACGTAGGAAAAATGAGGGTATGTTGCCTAGTGTGTGACACCTGAACAGTTCTCAGGGCAGGCTGAATCTTTTAGTTGCGGGTCTTTACTCACAATCTTTCACAACTATCTTTCATATTCATTGTGACTTGTATCTCTAAAAATTACCTTAATGTGAACGGCACAGCCTACCTTGACTGTTTAATTCAAGCTTGCTAGTTATTCCAACATTCCATCGTGGCTCTAATTTAGCTGCCATATCGGGCCATTCTGCGTCTACTGCCTACCTCTGCAGTACAACCATACTCAGTCATCGTCAGTGCTCTCGTGATTTTAGTAATCCTCACACATCGTCATGGACACTGAGTACACATGCACAACTTTCCCAAAGTGGACAGGCCACTTACCTTACCTCTTCTCCACCATCCCAACCCTTTCCCTTATTTTCCATTTTTTTTCCCATCATTCTTCCTTCCCCACCTTACCAATTCTCTGGCAGGTACTCGTGAGGGTCATTGTTATTGGTCACATGATGGGGGTCTTGATAAGAGGTATCGGAATTGTTTCCAATTCCTTGACTCGAGCTGGAAGGCCTTCCGTTCTCAAGGGCTCTAACCCTTCTGTTTTAAAGATTCTCTAGGTAAGTAATATAATATAATCTAGACATAACTTATATATATATATTATATATATATATATATATATATATATATATATTTATATTATTTATATATATATTTTATATAGTTTTATTTATATAGACATTCCTATTCGTATGAGTAATAAGGCAGATAAGTAATTTACTAATCTGTGGATTGATAGTTAATTTTATAAACACATTAGCTGCATAAAAAAAAGCTCATCAACTGAAAAAAATAGTGCATGAGTTTTCTGTATAAAAAAATTGATACGTAAGTAATTCTTCCCTCATTATAGTACTTGTGGATAATTCTGTATTTTGAAAATTCTGATTTTGCTAATTCAGAATTTTCACAGTACTAATCAATAAACTACATAAAATAAATGAACAAAAAAATTGAAGACAGTCGGTCCATATTTTTATGTTCAATACGGAGCCGAAATAAGTTCATATGATCAAACGTTGAGGCGATACTGGAGGTGCGCAGGGAGAAGGGACTTCCACGGGGGTTCTATTATGAACGGGAAATATACCGGTCTGCCCTAGACTAACTAGATTTGTTAATTTTTACTATATTTGTGGAAGAACTAAAACCCGTCGTCGGATACTTACAGCGTGGGGGAAGGGAGGGTATTCAGGTTTGATCGAGCAAGTAAAAGGTTAACTCCGGGTGCTAGCTACGAGTCCTTGAAGCGGTAGAACAAGTGGTGATTAGGAAGAAGAAATGTTAATAAATACTCGGAGGGTTAGCAACCCAGGATAATCCTAAATAATGTCATAATATCACCAGTTCTCTTATATTATTAGTACCTTTATCCTCTCTCTCACAGGAGGCGACCACACTGTCGTAGTATCTCTGGTGTACTCACTGCTAGGTACACAGACCTCATTTGTAGGCTTATTATTTTGCTGCGTTTGCGGGAATTTGGTGCAGTGTTTTAAAAGCTGGTGTGTGTGTGTGTGTGTGTTGTTGTGTGTGATAGTGAGTATTCATCTGAGCCAGCACCTGAGGTTATCTCTGGCTTCAGTAGTGCCGCTGTAGTGTTGGTGTCCCAGGGCGGCATCTTTGGTGCCACACCCATGAAGTCCAAGGAACGTTTAAAGGCCATAAACCGAAACAGGAGAATCTTCTAAGTTTATTATGATTTTTAAATTTATATCGTAGTAATACGGCGTGGGTCTGGGTTCGATTCCCAGCCAGAGTAAGAAACAATTGAACCGTGTTTTTTTCACCTGTTGTTATGTTGCCCCATCAGTAAAATGGGTACCTGGGGTTAGTGGACTGGTGTGGGTGGCATCATGGGTGTTAGGGGATGGTGTGGGTGGAATACTGGTGTTAGTGGATGGTGGGGTCGCTTCTGGGGCCACTGACTTAATTTTGCCCGACATATGAGATAACAAGTGGCTTTTTTATAGTAGTATGTCATGTTGTCAGCTAGTATGTTTACATTGTTCATTGTACTTGTAGTAAATAAAGATATTATTTTATTATTTTTATTATTTGTTATTTTTATTATTTTTATTATTTTTATTATTTTTATTATTATTACTGAGGATACATTAAATAAAATACATTCTTTTGAGTACAGCAAAACAGATTCAACATTTATTCAGCTTCACAATGCAAAAAAAAAACTTGAAAATAAAGATAATACATTGTGATATCAGAAAAAAACTAGTTCTGATCTGACCTTGAGTACAGGTAACTCTCAGTGAATCTGATCTTTCATTTGACTTGAGTACAGGTAACATATCAGTGAATCTGATTTTCACAGTTGACATTGGAGTACAGGTAAATCTCAGTGTATCTGATCTTAATTTTGACTTGAGTAAGGTACATTCAGTGAATCTTGATTTACATTTGACCTTGAGTACTGGTTACATTCAGTGAATTGATCTTACTTTTGACCTTGACTTAAGGTAAATTCAGTGAATTGATTTACATTTGACTTGAGTAAGGTAACGTCTCAGGTGAATCTGAATCTTACATTTGACTTGTGTACAGGTAACACTTCAGTGAATTGATCTTACATTTTGACTTGAGTAAAGGTATACATCTCAGTGAATTATGAATCTTACATTTGACTTTGAGTACGGTAACATCTCAGTGAATGATCTGATTTTGACTTGAGTGCAGGTATCTATCTCAGTGTATTTGATCTTATCATTTGTCTTGGGTACAGGTAACTTCTCTGTGAATCGATCTTTCATTTGACACTTGTGAGTACAGGTTAACATCTCAGTTGGGTAATTGATATTACATTTGGTCATGAGTCAGGTAACTTCGCACTGTATATGTTCTTACTTATTGTCTTGAGAGTACTGGTAACATCGTTTAAGTGATCTGTTCTTACATGTGTCTTGAGTACAAGGTAAAATTTCAGTGAATCTGTCTTACATTTGACCTTGAGTACAGGTAACATCTCAGTGAATCTGATCTTACATTTGACCTTGAGTACAGGTAACATCTCAGTGAATCTGATCTTACATTTGACCTTGAGTACAGGTAACATCTCGGTGAATCTGATCTTACATTTGACCTTGAGTACAGGTAACATCTCGGTGAATCTGATCTTACATTTGACCTTGAGTACAGGTAACATCTCAGTGAATCTGATCTTACATTTGACCTTGAGTACAGGTAACATCTCAGTGAATCTGATCTTACATTTGACCTTGAGTACAGGTAACATCTCAGTGAATCTGATCTTACATTTGACCTTGAGTACAGGTAACATCTCAGTGAATCTGATCTTACATTTGACCCTGAGTACAGGTAACATCTCAGTGAATCTGATCTTACATTTGACTTGAGTACAGGTAACATCTCAGTGAATCTGATCTTACATTTGACCTTGAGTACAGGTAACATCTCAGTGAATCTGATCTTACATTTGACCTTGAGTACAGGTAACATCTCAGTGAATCTGATCTTACATTTGATCTTGAGTACAGGTAACATCTCAGTGAATCTGATCTTACATTTGACCTTGAGTACAGGTAACATCTCAGTGAATCTGATCTTACATTTGACCTTGAGTGCAGGTAACATCTCAGTGAATCTGATCTTACATTTGACCTTGAGTACAGGTAACATCTCAGTGAATCTGATCTTACATTTGACCTTGAGTACAGGTAACATCTCAGTGAATCTGATCTTACATTTGACCTTGAGCACAGGTAACATCTCATTGAATCTGATCTTACATTTGACCTTGAGCACAGGTAACATCTCAGTGAATCTGATCTTACATTTGACCTTGAGTACAGGTAACATCTCAGTGAATCTGATCTTACATTTGACCTTGAGTACAGGTAACATCTCAGTGAATCTGATCTTACATTTGACCTTGAGTACAGGTAACATCTCAGTGAATCTGATCTTACATTTGACCTTGAGTGCAGGTAACATCTCAGTGAATCTGATCTTACATTTCCTTACTTTCAATCCTGCAAAATCATCTATCACATCATCAAATCAATAATTTTACCTATATAGGCCTATTTGTACTGTGTAATCGTATACGAGGCTATATAGTAACGAAAGATTCTTCTCTTATGTTGCTGTAGCACTATTTTGGGCATTAGTGTGACCTTTAGAGGCTCTATGGTGTCACCCCGTAAATGGTGTCACCCGGGGCGCCCCGCCCCCCTCCCTTACGACGCCACTATACTACCGCATTATTTGCTACATTCCTCCATTTTTAGGTGCCTTAGGTTGAAATCCCCCATGAGCAAGATGGTTGGGACAGGAGCTGGAGCTAAGTATTTAAAGAATTATTCACTGGTTGGTTGGTTGATGGGGTTTAAAGCCTTTCGACTACACAAGGGTCATTGAGGCTGCAATGTCACCTGTACACCACTTGTCAAAAACACTCTAACCTCCTAAACTCTAAGTGTATATACACTGAGAGACATACACCTCTGTGTATATAGCCTTGAATTATCTACTACGACAATTATTGACATTTATCTTATTATTCTTAGCACGTTAAGCATGAACTAGCTATTTAAGAACCGATGACAAGTACAGGCAGTTGTGATGGCGTGTCAAGGGTGGTAGGCATAACTAGACTTATTTCTGGTGTAGTGTCAGTCAAGTGGTCAGTCTGGAGCTTCTCCCTGTCTGAGGAGGTATGTTGGGCCGGTTTTTGAGTGTTAATGTGGTGGTATGTTGGGTTTGGTGGTGCCAAGGGGGGCTTCAGCCCCCCATTAATTTCCTCCAGGCCCCTATAAGCCTCTCCGGTGATGATAATCATTAGTTATTCAACTTGTCTCTGCTTGTATTAGATTTCTAGATGTTCATGTAAGAACTTTAACGGAGGAACACTGTCGAGATCTACTGACTTATTGTTAGGTAAAAAGATGCTCGTTCAACTATTAAGACATTTTATGGGGGCCACGTTTCGCTCTTCAGGAGAGCGAAACTTTGCCACAGGAGAATATTAGTTGAGCATGTGTTCTTTTACTTAACAATTGTTGATAATTCTAGCAACATTACTCTTATTCTCACAGTGCAATCGCCTAACTGTCCTAACTTATACATCATTGCTCGGTATTGCATACATTTGTATCTAATTTCTCAGGACCTAACTGTCCTAACTTATACATCATTGCTCGGTATTGCATACATTTGTATCTAATTTCTCAGGACCTAACTGTCCTAACCTTACTCGGGTGGCTATTCGCATGATTACATCACTTTTCTCGTTAGGACCTCTCTCAAACCCCCATAGATGATATGTCTCGTGTGTGAATTAATAGTGCTTAGTCGACTAAAACGTCTTCGCAACATAACTCCATAACCTGCATTATCATTCGGTTTCGCACTTATTTTTGATAATGCATACTCATTCACATACTGTGGGTGCTTAGCAATCAGGCACGAGATAGTCCTCTCAGCACAAACTTTAAGATTAAATGGTTATAATTATACTTTTTTTTTGTAAGGGGTGGAGGGGTAAGCCAGTGGAAGGCCTCGGTCAGATGACCGAAAGCTCCAGCTGTTTACCCAGAGTTTACCTGAGTGTTCCGGGGGTCAACGCCCCCGCGGCCCGGTCTGTGACCAGGCCGCCTGGTGGATCAGAGCCTGATCAACCAGGCTGTTACTGCTGGCTGCACGCAAACCAACGTACGAGCCACAGCCCGGCTGGTCAGGTACCGACTTTAGGTGCTTGTCCAGTGCCAGCTTGAAGACTGCCAGGGGTCTGTTGGTAATCCCCCTTACGTATGCTGGGAGGCAGTTGAACAGTCTCGGGCCCCTGACACTTATTGTATGGTCTCTTAACGTGCTAGTGACACCCCTGCTTTTCATTGGGGGGATGTTGCATCGTCTGCCAAGTCTTTTGCTTTCGTAGTGAGTGATTTTCGTGTGCAAGTTCGGTACTAGTCCCTCTAGGATTTTCCAGGTGTATGTAATCATGTATCTCTCCCGCCTGCTGTGGGTCATCAGCGTCAGGAAACACTTGTGTTTTCTGACAAATCTTGCCTAACCTAGCACAAGCAGCATTTTGATATCAAATTTAGCATACCAACAATTTCCGGAAGCCTACTAAACACCAGGAAGGGTCCATATGTACATAATCATGGAGCGCTAAACTCGTAGGGATTATACAGCGTCTGTTGGGGGGTGGAGGAATGGAAGGTATTCAGGGAACTGGAGCACAGATCCAATTCCCTAGATAGAGCCCCTCAACAGTCAAGGAACCTCCCTTGAGGGGTCATTTGCACATAGGGTAACAAAAAAAATAATAGCTTTATACAGTCTCATTAATGTCGATCGTGATCAGAATGAACTGTAAGTCACTGTCTGGCCACCACTTTTTGGACCTCTACTCCAATTCCTTGAATAATTTGAAAGGCCTTCCATTCTCCCAGGCGCTTTACTACCCATTCGGGATTAGCGTTCCCCCTCCCCTCAATGGAATTTAATGTTCTGGCTACCTTCAGTCTCCCTTGACTCTAGCTGCTGGCTTCTGCTGTGAAAAATTTGTCAGCTTATTGGGCAAGACTCTGTTCATGTGTGTGAAGCGGCTGGCATTGATGTCCATGAAGTGTGACGGCTCTTGTCATGTAATTTACGTAAGCCACTTGATTTACCTGAAGTTTACCTGGAGAGAGTATGGGGGGTCAACGCCCCTGCAGCCCGGTCCGTGACCAGGCCTCATGGTGGATCAGGGCTTGATCAACCATGAACTCCGTCAGATAATGACTACTCGTGAATTCTGCACATTTACTTTGTTGAGCGATTAACCCATATGGGTCATTCAGCGCAAGAGGTGTTGGAGATTTGATCCTCTGTCTGCTGAGCAGGAGAGAGACTTCTTATTTGTACGCTCATGTCTTGCTTTCCTGTCAAAGAATTAAACTCGAGATTCTCGAACCACTCGTGTGGCATGCTGAAGGGTTCATCAATAATGAATCCTCGTGATAATTAGTTTCTGGAGAAACTGTCTTCTGGAGATGGCATTTAACTATGCTATCAGAGATTTGCAACCAATGCAACATCCTTCTCCCCCTATAAAAAGTAGGGGCTCTATGAATACAGAGAACACAATTGTCAGGGGCCCAAGAATGTTCAACTGTCTCCCAGCATACATAATAGACCCCCGCCTTCGAGGCACTGGATGGACATCTAAAGTTGGTACCTGACCAGCCGGGCTGTGGTTCTTGTCTGTAAGAGTGCGGCCAGCAGTAACAGCCTGGTTGATCAGGCCCTAATCCACCACGAGGTGGATTAGGGCCATGGGCGTTGAAACCCCCCCCCCCCCCAACACCCAGGTATAAAGTACGTAGTATCGAGTTTAGGTTTGTCAGGAAACTAGGTGTTTCCTGACGCAGGTCCTAGTCATAGGATAATCCATTGCTGGAGCTTTTGGTCATCTGACTGAAGCCTTCCACTGGCTTGAGAGGAAAAAGAAACTGGGTCATACTGTCAACTGACTTGAATTTGCTAGTGCTGCACATACCTTACCATGATGCTTCAGTAAGTTTGTCACGGGTACACACAGGTACAATTAAAATTACCTAGACTAACCCAGAAAAAAACTAGGAGACTTGTTTCCATAGATCTGTGCAAGTTGGTGTGCATCAGCGTGACTTTGCCAATTAATTCTGCAGCATGTGAATAATTTTTCCTACCTGCAACTGACATACTTCACCAGTTGTAGATGAAGTGTAAGTGTTTTTATATTTGTATCTATAAATTCAAAGAGCCAAGAGTTTGAACATTGTAGGTATAGTTTTTTTTTTTTCATCCATAATGGAAAAATCACATTTGCATTTTTAGGCACCTTGAGCTTTTCATTTGATAAAATCCATTGTGCAATCAAACCGAGCGCTAAACTTTTTTTTGAGTGCTAATGGAAGTTTACAAGGATAAATATATATTTAGAGGTTTGTATATAGATGCTGATAGCTTGTTTAATCCTGTTAGTTTAACTGTTATGCACCCCCATACCTATCCTTTTGGGCAATAGTCAAAAGATTAGAGGTACATAATGGTGTCCAGGGACAAGTTACTGGTAAAGTGACATGTAATCTTATGACTTTCCTATTGTAATTGATTTCTTTGACAGTCTGTGAGGGTAATATGATTTTGGTCCACAAGGGGTGTGTTTGTGTGTAGGGAAGAGTGTATAAAGATAGGCTTTTCACTATTTGTATTTCATCACCACCAACCACCCAGTTGTGTCGGTCATTGTCCTCATCGCCTCCGAGCCGTGTGGACGAGCTGCGCAGACGCTCCTGTTTGAGTTTGTTTTGCGCAGTTTACCTGATTGAGCTGCCCCTAGCGTTGGTTGGTGGAAACTTTATTTTCTCCAACATGGCGCTGAATAGCAGAAGAAGAATCAACACTGTCTGCATTGAGATGATCCGTGGTGCTGTCACAGGATCCAACATGGATTTATTATTACCAGCGATCATTCGCGATACCTATGGTATAGAAAATGGGGAGATATGTGGTTCGATTAAATGGAATGACAAAACTTCGTTAAGAGGGGAAGTCCTGCACAAGTCTACGAGGCAGGGTCACAAGTATCGGGAAAAGACCATCTACAGGTTAAACAGCTGTGCGGTGAGACTTCATGATGTTTCCCCGACATTCCCCTGGGTAAAAATCAGGAATGTCCCTTTTTGAGGGGGAATAAATTTTGATTTTAACCAGTAAACTGCGTATTTAGGGGAGGGGTTCCCACGTAGCCACACCCAGGGAGAGGGGCAACGGGGCCCGTATCAGGTGCGCTGGAAGGGGGTATACATTTTAAAAAAGACTTTTCGGCCCCCTTTTCCCTTTCAAATATTTTTTGTTGAAAAAATTTAAGGGACTCAAGTCTATGTAACGTATGGGGGGGGAAACCAACGTACGTGTGGGCTATGTGGGTCTTTTTGACCACATCGCGGCGCAGTGTGAGAAACAAAGGGGGGAACCCGGCACAACACAAGGGCAACGCAGCAGCAGCAAAAAGCAACAGCAGCAACAGAAAACAGCAGCAACAGCAACACCAGCAAAACCCCAGCCAGTGGGGACGGGGTTGGGCGATGAGCGAGAACGCCCTCTTCCCAAAACCGCCCCAAAACGGTTGTCTGGATTGAGGAGGTAAAAAAAAGGGAAAAGGGTTAAATTCGCCATTTTGGAAACCAAAAGGAGAATCTAGTCTTTTGGACATACAAAAGGGTTTTTTTGAGGAGAGACTACCTAATTTGGGTGAAGAAGGGGGCGGCTCTTTGGTAAAGGCTTTTGGATATTTTAGGGGAATTTCGGTCCTAGATCAGGTAAAAAGACCCAGGCTCAGTTTGGGGGAAGGCGTGAAGGGATGGTATGGAGAAGATGGGGTTTTTGTCGACAGAGGGGTCTACGGTTTTAAAGGGTTTAATGCGGGAAAGGTGGAGGTGCATCAGGACGGTGCTTCGAGTAAAATGCAGGGGGAAAGGGGGGGACACAAAAGGGGACGGGCAGCATCATGGGATTCTGTTGATGGGGCTAACCCCTCCCCAAACGCCCGGGGAAAAAACCCTTGGGGTGGAGGTAAAGAAAAAGGGGGAATGGTGAACACAAGGATCAAGGATTGCAAAGGTTTTTCCCCAACCCAAAGGGGGGGGAGGGACAGGGTGTTGAAAAACCAAAACGGGGG